GGGGGGGGGGGGGCAGATCAGAGGGCTGTTCTCCCATCTGTTTTTATGCTTGCTCCAGGGTTTGCACTGGGCTCCGGAACAGGGACTCCTCTGGGGCTTTCTCTAGATTTTGTATGCTGTTATTAAAAGCGAGCTATTGCATTTCATTCTGCCTCAGTTTGCCCACCTGTAACATGGGGCTGATACCACCTACCTCACTGAAGTCTCCCAGGTTCCAGTGTACCACTGGGTCAGGGGGCGGCCGCCAGCCATTCTGTACCCCTGGGGTCAGGGTCAGACTCTGGACACTTACCTCCCCCTCCCCCGCCCCCCTCGTCACTCTGTCCCAGAAGACGCCTGACTGGGTTGGGTTTGAGCATCCTTGAGTTCTCTGACCGCCCAGCTCCTGCTTGGCGGTGCCCCCACTCCGCACGATTTCATGTTCCAAAGCAAGGTCACCGGGCAAGGGCCATGTCTCACCCCAGAGCGGGGAGCCAAGCCCTGGAGCCGTGAGCCCACAGTGTCCAGCGCTCCAGGTGCCGTCGGGGTGTCGGGGCCCAAACGCAGCCCTAAGCTTTCATCCAAGGTGGCTCTTCAGGAACGTTTCCTCCCTGGGCGTCTGGGGTCTGAAGTCAGGAACTCGGTTCCGGGGAGAAACAGCCCTGATGTAGCTGCCACGCAAGGACAGGTAGCTCAGCACCTGCAGACGGCAGGGCCCCCTTCTCTGCTCTCCGAGGGGAGGAGCCGAGAAGGTTCCCCTGCTGGGGCCCGGAGTCGGCCCAGCTCCCAGGCGTGGCCACGGCTCCTGGTGGGGCCCCGGGCGAGTCAGGCTCCTGTCCTGTCGGCCTTGCGGGGTGTCTGGGGCCAGCTGCAGCAACACCAAGATGCTTTGCAGAACTTAAGGCGTGCCGGCTGTGGGGTTCGAGAGCTCGCGCCTCGTTTGTAAAGCGTGAGCAGAGAGAGGCGCGCAGCGGCTCGGCGGCCTCGGGTCCACACGCAGGCAGCTCCGGGTGTGAGCAGGCGCCGCGCTCCCCTTAGTACTCGCATCGCCCCATCCTACCGACCAGACAGCGGGAGGTGAAGCGGGCCGCCCAGGACTGAAGAGCAAGCGGGACGGCGGAGTCCACCCTGAGCCCGACACCGCTGCCCAGGACCCTGGACAGATGCCGGTGGGACTGAACTTCGTCTTTCCGTCTTCCCGACGGTCCTTCTGACACTGAATCTGACACATGCTCAGAGGTGCTTGGAAACTAGGCAGCTGTTCGCTGAGGGTTTCTTCCAAGTGACAAAGGGCATCGGTAACAAATTACAGGAACAAGTGGCAGGACCAGCCCCAGAGCCCCAGCGTTGGGTCCCGCGGGTCCTGGCGTGGGTACATCTTCAAGGGGGTGAGGCCCTCTTTCATTTCCGGGGACACGCCCGCCTGGTGTCCCGCAGGGGCTGCAAAGCACGCGCGCACTTCCTAAACGGGGCCTGGAATTGAAGTAGTTTTCCTTTGTGGAAACCTAGGTGTCGCTTTTTAGGACATGTGTAAGAAAGGTTTTGTTTTTTTCCCCATTTAAAGAAATGTCCGGGTTTATTTATTTTTTATTTATTTTTTAGTACGCTTTTATTGATTTATTTTTTAGAGGGGAAAGCGGGATAGAGAGAAAGAAACATCGATGAGCGAGGAACATCGGCTACCTCCCGAATGTCCTCCGTGGGGCCTCGAGCCCTGCAACCCCGGGCATGTACCCTGACGGGAACCGATCGAACTGGGGACCTCTCGGCTCAGAGGCCGACGCTCAGCCACTGGGCCACCCCGGCCAGGCAGCAACGTCCTGGTTTTAGCGTCTGGTGGGTAACAATCTCCGCTGACAACGGTCAGCCCCTGATCGGCGAGGCGGCATTTAGTCTTTTCGTTCTGAGGCCTGGTGGAACTTCCAGTGGCCTATAGAACGGCCCAGGCTCCGTACTTGAAAAGAAGAAGGTTATTGAAAACAAAGGCCAGAGAAGTATTCAAAGGAAACAAAAAGCAGCAGAAATAGTCTATAGCCCTGACCCCTTGGAGATGGGGTGAGTTTTCTGCCGAGTCAAATCCACGCGGACATTCGGACTTTCCAAGGACTGAATGAACCGTCGGAAATCAATTGGGCGTCTCTGCATGTGGGACAAAGATAGTAACGACATAAAGGCACGTTCCTACTGTGATTCCCCCCAAAGAACCCAGTGAGAATTAAACCAGGATCTATTTTTGTTTTTTTAAATCACAAAAAGGCTAGCTAGGCTTATTTAAAAACAAATTTTAATTGATTTTTAGAGAGAGGAAGGGAGAGGGCGAGAGAAACATCGATATGAGGGAACGTTGATTGGCTGCCTCCTGCCTACTGGGGACCCGGGCGTGTGCCCTGACCTGGAATCGAACCAGCAACCTTTCGGTTCATGGAACAGCTGAGCCACACTGGCCAGGGCTAGTTAGTAGACTTTTGAAGAATGAAATAAAATATTTTTCCCATTAAAAGACATTCCATGGGGCAGTCCCTATGTAGCTGGTATATTCTGATGACTTTTGAAAAATATATTTGACATTGTGATAATGTGGTGGTTTTAAATCACAGGCCAAAATTCTTGAAAGGCTTACATATTACAAATCTGCTAGCTTTTTATTTTATTTATTTTTAGATATGTTTTCATTGATTTCAGAGAAAGGAGAGGGGGAGAGAGAGAAAACATCAATGATGAGAGCGATTGATCGGCTGCCTCCTGCACGCCCCCGACTGGGGACTGAGGCCGCAACTTGGGCATGTGCCCTGACCGGGAATCGAACCGTGACCTCCTGGTTCATAGGTCATCGCTCAACCACTGAGCCATGCCAGCCAGGTCAAATCTGCTAGCTTTTTAATCAGATTTAATAGGTTTCACTCATTCATATATATATATATATATATATATATATATATATATCCTGTTCAGTTTTCCAATTTAGCCAGAATTTAGTTTTATAGTCAGTCTCGAAAACCAGTATCTTTTGACATGATGTCGATTCTTCCTGTTCAGGCTTCCTCTCATCTTGGTAACAGAAAACAAACTTCTCTTTTTAAAAAACCACGCTGGTAGGACACAGACTCAGACATGAAAATGTAAGTGCTGGCTGACGTCTGGCCCTTGAGCTTGAACGGAGAAGCCTTCCGGGGTGTCAGCAGCTGCCCTTCCAGGAGCGTGCTCCTTGGGCCAGGCGGCCAGAGCCTCACCCGTCCCTCTCGGGAGACGGCCTGTGGGAGCCGGGTGCCAGGCGCGTGCTGGGGCTTCCTCTCCTCTTTTCCCTCATGAAATTGGCACTGACACGATTATCTTCCCGCCCTGTCCCCGAGGCCTGGAGAACTCGGAACGCAGAAGCCGAATCACTGGACCACCGAGTGGCCTGGGGCTGGGTTCAGTTCCGAGCGGGCGGAACCTCGGAAGCGGATGGAGCCACGGACACGGAGCATGTGTTCCCAGTTTTCTGTCACTGCAGCGGCAGGCGGGCGCTGTTACCGTTTTGTTCCGGGCCTTGGGCTAAGTGGATCTAAGACGACAACCACGCTGCACCTCTGCCGAGCACTGGAAGCACGCAGTCTCTCCTCCCTTGTCCTTTGGGTCCCCGCTTCACAGGAAGTTGGGTGATGTGGGTGCAAATATGAATCTTCTGTTTTCCAAACCAATCCTCTGTATGAGGATGCTGAGACCTGCAAGGAAATCTGTTGAGATTTTTCAGTACTTTGAGTCATAACTAAGGCGATATCTACAAAATCTGTTTTAGCGAGAGCGCCACGGTGGCACACACTGGATACACTCCGGCAGATCACAGTGACATTTCCATCCCATTAGCAGCAGCTTCGGGTCAGCCGCCGTCCACACGCAGTGGGAATCATTTCTGACCCGTGTTTGGGGCTGGCTCTCAGCTGAGCTTATGAGGTTGCATTTCTGTTGGAAGTTGATTTGCATGTCGATTATTTTATTTATTTTTCTGCCCTCTACTGAATCTTTACCTAGCTATTTTTCCCCTCTAATAGGGTATTTCAGATGAAATACAGATATTACAGCAATGTGATAACTTAGTGATTGAGCCTTATTTCGCCCCCAAAGATTTAACTCACATCAGCTGTGTTTCTGAACTGCTGTTGAGACGGACAGGGACCACCCCTGCCCGGCCTCAGCTGTCCTCGAGTCCGCCAGCGGGGCGGCCCGGCTGCGGTTCCGTCAGGTGCTGTGCTTGCAAAATTAAGTCACAAGGGACACATCCCAGCCTTAGCGCTCAGCCCCGTGAAGTGGTATGTAGGAAAGATGGTGGAGTCACCTACCTGCAGGTCCCAAGGTCGAGTGTTGCCAGGCTCCTGGCTGGCTGCTTGGCCTCCCGGAAGCTGGGTTTCGGGCTGTAGGCTCTCCGTGGCCTTGCCCTGCAATGACTGAAGCCGATGCTGAGCACGATCCCACACTTCGCTGACCCCTGGCGCCTGCTAGTGCAGGTGTGCAGAGCCCGAAGCGGCGTGAGTCACTTCCCACGCGACAGGCTTTTCCTTTCTATGGTCAGATGAAGTCTATGTCATGAGGCGATGGGTGCGAGGCCTACGGCTCTGCAGGAAGGTGTAGAATAGAAAGAGGGCGTCTGAGATACAGCGAGGGACACACGCCAAGCTGACACTGCGGGAAGCTGACTGCCTCAGGAACATCTGAGCGGGAAATCGGCGCCCGGCCCCTCCAGGGCAGGCTGCGACGGCGGTGACGCGGGCAGTGCGGCAGGTTACAAAGATGGCCTGCCGTCCAGCTCAGCCCTTCTTGTTAAATAATCAGGTCCTTTGAAAGCAGTCACCTGAGCAATGTTTCACGGGGGGAAAGGCTCTGCCCTGGAAGCTACCTACCAGGACCTCATTCCCATGTGCCGCCCACGCTCGATGGGGTTCGGTTCTTGAATTCTGACCTACATGGACTTTTAGGAACTACCGTCAGGCCCTAGCTTAGGAAAACGTGTTGCCAGGAGGGAAAACCTTTGGGAATTTTATCCCAGGAGGAGGGGAATGTGAACTAACCTGTCCAACCCCACGGCTCACTGTACATACACGTTGAGTGCGTAAAGACGCTGTATTTGTGCTTGGTTGTTAAAATGACAGAACAGCTGGAACACTTAGGAGGAAGGGAAATGTTTGTTTTGGGGGATGAGAAAAGATGTCTTTTCTTTTGCTTCCAGCTTCATGTCGAATTCTCTCCCGGCTTGGCCTCTACACAAGCCAACAGGTTTAACACGACATCTCCTCCCTGTATTTGGACTAAGGGTTTTTCATCTTGGAATCTGAATTTAATAAAACCATTAGATTGCTCAGTTTGAAATAACCATGGTTGTTAGTGAACTTTAATGATTATATTTTGAATAAACAATTTTGTTAGAAGACTTTAGGCAATTCCAGAAACTAATCACGCTGAGCCCTTGGATGGGCCCATGCAAACCTTCAATAGCTGTGTGAGTCTGGCCCCCTTCACTCCGCATCTAAGCCCCGTGGGCTGCTGCCCAAGCCCGGGCTGGGCTTTCTCACTGGGGAGCAGAACCGCCAGCTACCTTCCCAGGTGCAACACAGTTCACGTGAGGGACACATGTACAAGGGCTGGCACAGTTCTGCAAGTCTGACAGCCACTGCTGTTCCTCCCCTACTGGAACGTGCCCGAAGGGTGTGCCGTGGGTTATCTTTAATGTTTCTCTTCATTGATTTTATAGAGAGAGGAAGGGAGAGGGAGAGAGAGAGAAACATCTTCCACTGGCTGCCTCCTGCATGCCACCTACTAGAGATGGAGCCTGCAACCTGGGCATGTGCCGTGACCACTTGGTTCCAGGGCCGACACTCAGCTACTGAACCACGCCGGCCGGGTGTGCCACAGGTTACCTTTCAACACAAGTCATAAGGAGCACAGATGTAGCCCAGTGGTTCTCAAATCTGAGCCTGTATCAGTATCAGAACCACTTGTTAAAACCCAGACAATACGCTGGACTTAGATGGTGGTGATGGTTGCACAGCTTAATGAATATACTAAAATGACTGAATTGTACACTAAGCGTGCATTTTATAGTATGTAAGTTATATCTTAATAAAAACAGAACAAAACGACATGCTGGCCCCCACCTGGCTCTGACACTGGTCTGGGGTGGGCCCAGTATGTCTAAGTCCTCAGGTGGCTGCTACACCCAGGGCCACACGAGAACCACTGTCCTAGCCCAGCCCCTCCACTGAGAGCCTAACACAATCCTTCCGTTAGCTGCTGCCAGGTCAGAAAAACACTGATGTCAGTCTTTTCAGTCTTTTCTTTACCAGGGAACCTCTCTTATAAACCGGCCAAGTGCTGAACAATTCAGGAAACTTTTAAAAATGCGAACCTGACTCCAGATACTGTAATTCTGTTAATGCCTTAATAGCAATTTTCTAAAGCACCGACAACTTAGTTATATAAACTCAAAGTATAGTTTTTCTTGATCATTTCCATCCTCTTAGTTTTAAAACATCCTTAAGAGGCCTGATTTTTCACTGAGATGGATCTGGACACAGATCCCAACTCCACTCGCATTATCTGTAAGAAACGTAACTTGCCTGAACTTGTTTCTTTGGGAAACACACCCCAGAGCCCGTGTGAGGGAGGCCTGCTGCGAGGACAAGACCAGGTCACACACAGAAAGCGCCGAGCACAGCGCTTCCAATGGCAGCCGGTGAAGGAGCTATATTCCCACTCTAATTGGTTTGGAAGTGGCCTCGTCCAGCGCATATGGGCTGGTAAATGTCCCGCCTCCCTCCAGGCAGAGGAGGTTTCTGGGCACCCCCGCAGGCCCCCCTCTGCTCGGCAGGACCTGCACTAGCGCCAGGGGCTCACAGAGGAACATGAAATGTCAAACACGGATTTTGTTTCCTCTCCATTTATTCACATTTCCAGGATTGTTACATGTCCTCGGTGGGATCATTCAGAAACCAACACAAACTGAGATTACATGGTCTGATAATTCAAGTATTTTAAAAAGTTTCCTACTTAAAATAGAAAGCAAACAATTTACCCATCTGATGGCTAGGAAGTAGGTTTCCCATCCCCGCTACAATCGTGGCTGCAGGGAGAGTCCCCAGGCCTTCCTGGGATGCCCAACCTGGTACAACCAGGAGGCCTTGTGCTCACAGTGCAGGGCTGGGAGACCAGCTGGCCAGGTGGCTTGCTGTCACCTGCGGTGCCACAGGACAGCCTACTTTTTATTTAACAGCCTCATGTTCAGAATGAGAATGGACACTAGGGTCAGGAGGGTGCCACTTGGTGTACACAGCCTCCCAGTGCACGGTGCCTGCGTGTGGACTGGTCCGGAATATGACTGACATGCCCCCAACACGCAGCTTTGCCTTTCCAACACAACCGGAGGCTCTAAGTGAGGATTGGTCTGAGTTAATAGCAAACGCGATAGCAGGTAGGCATGTTGGCATGCAGCAGATCAAAAATGTGATTCAGAATTGAAGTTGTAAAACAGTCTCCTTTTAAGGAAAACCAGTCCCTAAGCAGCCAGACTTGCCCTGCCATGGGAAACACAACCTGAACTTCTTCCAAACCAGGATGCCCACTTTCCTACCGGGAATGCTCAGGATGAGATGGACACACGCCAGTCTGAGAAAAGGCCACTGGGATGCTCAGCATTTGTCAAGATGCAACGACACCTGATTCAGAATGAGACACACACCTCATTTTAGGTCACATACATGATCCATGTTACAGGCTCTTAAACCAAAAATGAAAATTTCAGTCCACACTGAAACATTCTACAGACATTTCTAATACTTTGTTAAAAAGTGATCTAACCTCGGGGACGGAGTTTAGCTATGAACACACTGGGGAAGGAGAGGCAAGTCCCCCAGTCACACAAGGGGTGTAGAGTTTACAGTAACAGCCACACATTCTGAGGCGCTTCTATACCAGCCCACGATTAAAGTGGAGACTGAGTTCCCAAAGTGTGGGAATTTAAGGAAAGATCACATTTGGAGTTAATGTACACACATTACACCTTCCCTGTAATTTTCACTCTAACAGTGAGTCTTAGCAGCAAGGATGTGCTGGGAATGTTAGCAGAGGAAGCCATACCCCATCAGTAACTGAAAGGCATGGGCCGCTTCCACAGGCTGCTAAAGGAGGCCCATCGCGCTCTTCCCGGGCCCTCTGTTGAGCACCCTACTGGTCGCGCAGAGGCCATGACCCCACAGGGCTCCTGAAGATGCCTGCTGGGGCTGGCTATTCAGGGGGACCACGGGAGCACATGGCTGAGCTGAAATGTGCTGAAACGTGCTCCCCGGACTCCCTCACCTTCTAACTACTGGGCACACTGGAAAAACCAAGGCGCCAGGGCTGGGCAGGGTGACTCTAACAGCATCGACCTCTTGTCTATTCTAAGTCACTGGTAATAAAAGCACATGAAGAATCTCACTTATAAGCAGTAAATGCAACCACCACTGTGGCTTCCCCAGGGTCTGGCAAGAGCCAAGTGGGACCACGCCTGTCACGGCCAGCAGGCCTCTGCGTGTTTACCTAGTCACACCGGCCGACCTCTCTCACCGCAGTGACCAGACAGAGCGGTACAGGAGCCCCATGACAAACACCAGACCAGTACCTGACCTTGAGTATTGAAGAGTTAACACATTTGATTGAGTTTCTCTGCCCCCTTTACATCTAAAAATTATAGGTTTTTTAAAAAAGCAAACACACTATCTCAATTATTTTGATTCCTGTTTTCTAAGTCAGAAGATGTGCTGAAGATCAGAACACAGAGAGTGAGCCCTCAGGCACTGACCCTGAGTCTCAAACAAGAAGATCGCCCGGTGCCAGCACTAAACGAGCCACGAACACAGACAATTCAGCCTTCAGATCCGCACCTACTCACGCGCCCAGTCCTCAGAGAAGCTAGTATGGCTACCGGACGGCCGCGGGGGAGACACAGTATTCCTGGGCCAACTGTGCCTCCTTCCTCACGGACTTCCTGAACGATTTACTCAAAAAAAAAAGGAAATGAACTTCAGCCGTCAAATGTGGACTAGCCTAAGTTAAAGGCGACATTTACACACATGACTTTCCCCTTATTGCCTCCTTGCAGCTTTCCTGGTTAACTCACACGGCTTGTGTGTAATAAAAGCTCTTAGACTTAAGCAGTAAGCAGTTTTTAGATCCATAGGGTTTGCCGCGGTACAACTAAGCATATTCGCTTCCTTTCTGTAGGATGACTTAACTCTGACTTAACTTTTTTACATGGTTTACAAACTGTAAGCTACCAAAATTGTGCTTTTAAACCTCATTCCTGGCAACCCCCGTCTCTCCATTTGTCACGAGGGGGACAAGGAAGTAACAGCACCTCATAAATAAACTTCGAAACCAAAGAACAAGCCACCTGTTTCCTTTTAAAAGGTTAAGCAGCTCCTGAGTCCCTCACAACAGCCTCCAGAGTGAAAGGCCGTCTGCTGAGCGGCCCTGACGCTGAAGGTGACATTTGGTGCCCACATCACAGCTTTAAAAGAACACTTAAAAGAAAGCACACACCTGCCCAGCTGGGCAGCGGCTCCATCTGGACGGAAGGCGGCAGGCCTGGCTCCTCTGGACCCCACCCTTGGGAGCCTTGCCAAACCCATGGGTGGGAAAAGCCTTTGGGAAGTCCACACGATACCCTGATTTCAGTCCATTAAGAAATCACTTGTGGTTAGTTTAATAAATGAACATTAAAAATCTTTCCTGAAATATCTTTCAAATGTATTTACACTTTGGACAGTTAAGAAGGGAGAATACAGCTTCTCGACACTAAACATTAAAGGTTTTATTGGCCATATTAATCTTCCTCACAAAAGTTTTAAGTCATCTAAAGGTCCTCAAAATATCAATGAAAGACTAACTACACAGAGGGCGGGGAGCGGCTCTCTGGCGCAGCCGGGCCCAGGCGCTCAGGCGTCCTTCTGCTCCTGTAAGACTCGGTGCAGCTCGTCTGCATCCTCGGCAGTTTTCACCCGAATCAGCATGGTCACTGGCGCGCTGGTGTTCTTCTCGTCCACCGGGGGGTTGGGGACACACACAATCAGCACGTTGTTCTTCCCTGTGCGGGTACACGGCATGTTGGGTGGAATCAGGACGTTCAGCAGTATGTTGCCTGCATTTAAAGAAATAATAATTAAAATCAGACAAACTACAGCTCTACGAACCAGAGCTTCCATATGCCAAACGTTAAATACTGAGCCAACCCATACACCCTGGATGGAAAACCGGGAGCCACAAGAGTGTCACAGAAATAGGCATGGTTCCGACGGAGGCAGGCATGGTGCCCCAGAGAACCTGAGGCCACTGGTGGGACTGGACCTGACCCAACCTTGGAGGAGCCTCTGGCTACCCTTCACTCACCCTCCCCCCCAGGCCCCTGCTGATGGTCAGCCTGCCAAACCCCGTCCACCGTCGCACTAAAGGACAAACACACTGGCGTGCCCGGAGTCCTCATTAAATCATACACACAGAAAAGCAGTCAACAAAGAAGCGTGTCACAGAGGAGACATGGCCCCCCGGATAGAGTGGCATGACTGCAGAATTACCACCAATCAGTCAAGCTGACAGGGAAGCAGAAGCCTCATGGAAGGTTCCTTCTGCAAGCCAGCCTATGCGGCCCACTTTCTCAGACCTGCCCCTCCACAGCTCCCCTTTCTGTGGACTGTTTAAGGGTAAAGCTGCGGGGTGAGCTGCGGGGTGTGTGCATTAATGATTTTTTGCTATAGAAAAAGGATTCCTTTAAATGATTAATTCCCCTTGTGTTTATTATTAAAGCATTCAATTTACCTCCAGCACCTTCCTCACGTTTCTAACACAAAGGAACATGAAAACCATTGCTCACTTCTCACTACAGCTTTCAACAGTGCCCCTTCTCACACACCATCCCCAGCACTCAAACAAACCGGAAACCGCAAAGTATGGGCTGAACTGGGTTGAACGATCTCCTCCATCCAAACCCCACATCAATGTACTTGAAAACCTCAAAGACTGACATGAGCAGGGAGAAGGGCCGGTGCACCGCGTGCCGCGCGCTGCGCCCCAGAAGAGGCACCCACCTAGGCTGGTGTCTGCCCGCACCAGCAGCTGTGTCTTCTGATTCGCTGTGGGCTTCAGATGCAGAGTGCCGACACCCTTCTCTTTAAATTCACTGTCTTTCTTGTAGAAAAGTTTACACCTAGGAGAACAGCAGGGATGGTCAGACAGGCAATGACCAGTCAAGTCCGTTCTCTAACCACCAGTCATACTTGTATGGAAACTATTAAAGGAGAGCAGAAGCGTAAGGACCCATCTCCTATGGACCCAGACTGGGTCTGGGCACAAGGCAGAACAGGAAAATCTGGTTGGGTAGTCTAGAACCCCACCCCTATTTTTCCAAATTATTACACAGTGGGCCCCATGTAACTTTTCAAGTAACTTTCTGAAACTACCCTGACTCAAGACAATCAAAATCCCGGCCAGACACCCTGTCCTCCTGTAACCCCATCTGGTCTTTCAGGGGTAAGAGCAACCACGGGACAAACACTGCCCCCAGTCCCCTCTCCTCGTTTCTTATTTCTGAATTCTCGTCAAGACTCCTGTCAATTTTTTTTTTTTAACTCGCACCCAAGGATATTCTTCACACAGTTTTCAGGAGAGTGGAAGGGGAGAGAGAAACATCGACGTGAGAGACATATCAACTGCCCCCCGACCCGCACACGCCCCGACTGGGGCCGAGCCTGCAACAAAGGCCCGCACCCTTGGCTGTAATCCACCCGGGACCCTTAAGTCCTCAGGCCAATGCTCTCCCCACGGAGCCAACCAGGCCAGGGCTAGGACTCCTGCCACTTTTGATCCCCCCAAGGAATGACAGTGCAGTCAAAGGGCTCTCAGCCTCTGCGCCACACAGCTCCTGAACTTATCAATGAACAAATCAACACCAGTGCCTGCACCTCTGATAAGAAAAAAATATTAAGTTAGGGCCATGCCCTTCTCTCATCTGTGTAAATAAATTTTAAAAAATGGGCACAAGGAATTATTGGCCTTTTTTTTTTTTTTTTAATGTTTTTTAAAAATTGATTTTAGAGAGAGAGGAAGGGAGAGGGGGAGAGAGACAGGAACACTGATGAGAGAGAAACATCACGAAGCCCAACAGGCCTCCAGGGCAGGATCGGAGACACCTCCTGACCAAGAGCAAAATGACCCTGACCCTGCAGTCAGTGACTGGTAGCCTGTGGGGGATGGAGGGGAAAGAAAGTAGTGGACAGGACGGGCCAGGAGGGCAAAGCAGAGGCCCTCTCTACAGTGTTTCAAACGCAGAGAGGAGCTGGATCAGCAGAGAGAGGGCTGTGCCCAGAAGGAAATTTCTAGAATCTGTTTGTTTTTAGATAAACAGTCCAATAGTTCTTCCTTGTTCTGATTCAAAGGGTAGGCACAGTCTGACCCCAGGACGGGGTGCTCAGTAACTCTGGGGACAGTCACCCCACACCCTCTGTCAGAAGCCCCCATCCACGCCTCTGGAAGTATGTCCACCATGTGGGCCCCTCGGGTCAGAGCTTACTTTTTGGAGTAAAAGGCATCCTCTTCCTTCACTTCGGTGACTATCACTCGGGGCGGCTCCTCATTTTCTTCATCTCCACCTTCTGAAACAACATTAACTCGGTGAGACTCAAATCAAATGCTTGAAAAGGTGATAAAGGAAGTTGGTTATTACCCCCCATGTCAACCTAACAATCCCAGGTAAGCTGACATCAACTTGTGTGGGGGGTGCACCCACTGGATTTTAATGATTTTGTGAAAAATGAGAACAATTTTTAATGGGAACAGACCTCTCTTCTAAAACAAGTGTTAATTTGTAGAAAGCCTTGGAAAGAAAAAATGTCCTTGCTTATGATTCAGTGCATATGCAAACTTTTACAGAAAAAAAATCAGACGACATGACAGAGTGAAATAGTCGGCCTCCCTGACTCCGTCCTGTCCCAGCCTGCTCTGTCCCCAGGGCCTGCAGGCTGGGAGCTCCTCAGTCTTGCCTATAGACACACTAACCCTTAGAGTTCTGCTTGCCCCTTGAGCTTTACAAAACAGCCCCTTACCAGAAAGTGCCTCTTCCAGGAGATAAGGGAAGTAGGTATTGTTTATCAGAGATATGCAGGACCTTGTTCCAGACTCACATCAACTAGGGTCAACAGACTGAGCACAATCTTCCTGAGACCCCTGCTGGTGCCCAGCTTCCTGGGGTCAGTCACCTCTTGCCTCTCCCACTTCCCTTCCCTTCACATAAAAGAAACCCAAACTCTGTACTTTCTTAAGATGGATTTGAGGTTGAGTCTCCCACCTTCTCGGTTGGTGCCTTCCTGATCAATAAGCCTTTCCTTATTCCAAACTCTGAAGTTTGAAGCTTTGGGCACATAGACGGGTAACAAACACTTATGTATAGTCAGATCACCACTGGAAAATTTAAATCTCAGATACGCTTCTAACACTTTCATCCCCAAATGTTCCTGTGACCACAACTGCATTATGCCAAGGAACAGTCAACATCAATCAGGTGGGGAAGATAAACAGAATGTTTACAAGGCAAGTTGTCAGAGAAATTACTCCAAAGCCAAGTATAAGTAACTTCGGCTTTGTCTGAATTGCATGCCTCTCAAGTTCAGATTCCGCCCCCAACCCATACCCACACTGAGCCAGAACAGCACTTCCTTTCACTCCAGCACCAACCACAGTGGAGATGAGATTTAAGATACTGCAAAAGATGCAAGTACACATCCTCTTAAAGAGAAAGGCAGCCCTATGAACTCCCTAAATTAAAATGCAACTCTGAGAGAAACAATTCTGGTGCTCAAATAATTGAACCATGGACGAAAAGAAGCCACAGGCTAACCTGACAAGCTCAGGAGAGGCCTGCACAGTGGCCTTGCAAACTCAGAGACCTAAAGTAACCGCAAAGGATGGTCTGAAATTAAAACTTAACGAAAAGTAGTTCATGACAGGTCACCATGTCTCAGGCTAGATTCTTCCATCAAATGCCATGGTCTTCAAACTGGTGTGCCACAGAATCTCCTCAGGAGGTTATTTTTAGATAAGATCTTGGACTCCCCAGTGAGGGTCTCTAGGGTGGAGGGTGGGCCAGGAGGTTGAGGTTTAAACAAGCTCTCCAAGTCTTTTTGATGCAAAAACTGTGACAAGCACAGGACGGCAGTAAGTGCTCTGAGTGGCTTCCCACAGAGATGGAGACTCAACTGATTCCACATCTCTGTCCCTGTGGCTGCCCTAGGCTTGGACAGACTGACCATTCATCCTGGGGGTGAGGGTGGGGGGCTTCATTCCATGCTTCTCCCTGGAGGGCCCTTGCTCAAGGATACACCTGACGGCAGGGCCAGAGGACCAGTAATGGAAGTTTAGCTCCAGGTAAAAAACAGAATATTTAGTGACAAACTGGCAACTGCCTTTTCTTTCTTTCTCAGGGACTGATACGTTAATACTGCTTACAAGTAGCGTCAGACATTATTCATTCATCACCCCATGTGAGGGAGAGGGATTATGAATAACCTCACTCTTCTGAGAGCTACGGAGGGAGTGGAGGGGCTGGAACTCTAAGACCCAGGCTTTGCCTTGCTTGGGGCACTGACACCACACACAACAGAGAGTTCTGGAAAGGCGGCTACAATCCAGATATGTCTTGGGAAGACATCGTGAATTTGTTCCCTATGACTATGGAAAGCCTACCTTTTAAAATGTATAGTACTGCTTCGGTAAGTGACTTTATTCATAACCAAATCTCCTAAATACAAACAATTCAATGGATGTTCATGAAAAACTGTCAATAAAACACAACTTTTCAAAATATGTTAATTCACTTCTGTTTCATGTGCAAGCCATGTGTTCAATACTTTTCAAAGTAGTTGTGCCAGATAATTTCATATTCTTAACTTTTATTTTTATATCCTATCCTTAATCCTCATAATAACCCTATAAAATAGGCTTTAATCCATTTTGCAAATAAGGAAGCCGAGACTCAAAGGCTCATAAACTCCATCCAGGGTCACACGGCTCGGAAATGATGGCGCCATGTCTGCGCTTCTCCCACTAAACACAAACCTCACAGACCTAAGCTGGACTCAAGGGTAAGCTCACCTTTGCAGCCAGCACTGCTGCCGCCTGCTGGGCTCTCCAGCGGTGCAATGGAGAATGGTGAAGATACTGGTTTACTCTGGGTAGTATCTTTGCCAAATAAACTGGAGTTTCCAGAAGGAAATGAAAACCCAGCCAGGGGGCTAGAGTTTAAGGAGCCCAAAACAGAACCATCAACTTTCTTGCCGAAATTAAACGAGGCACTTGTCGCTCCTAGTGATGGGTCCCCCTTTTTTTCAGGCATAGCCTGTGTCTCCTTTTCAGAGGTACCCTCAGTTTTGTCCCCGTGAAACAAAAATGTTGACTCTTGCTGTAACTTTGTTGAACCAAATAGGGCAGGAGACGGTGAGTTGAGGGGCATTTTGCCAGATTCCCTTGCCGGGTCGCTGCTCTCACTGTCGTCGAGCCGCTGCTGCTGCTCAATGCCTGCTAGGTACTTCTCATAGTCTTTAAAGACAGGTGTCAGGTCGCACAGTGGGTTTGCATTCACGTGCTTCACAATCCAGTCCCGCACACAACAGTTCAAGGCCGCCAGCTGCTTGTGGTATGTGTTCCCGTGATGGGCGGGGCTTGAGGCAACACCAGAGGAAGAAGGCTTCTGACTGTCACCGTTTGTTTTGGGATTTGAAACCTTATCACCAACAAAGGAGGTGGGGCCATTTACAGCAAAAGATCCTAGAGAAAATTTAAGTTTTAAGGTTCATTTAGAAGTTGATTTGACTAAATCATCTAGATTTTTCTATCACTCATATTTTTGCTTTTATTGCATCCCATTTTTGTGACAGTTCAAGAAGTATGTGCACACCTAATACTTAGGATCTGGTCATCACAAAAATCAAATCAAACTTTATGCAGGAATAGTATCTATTATATGCTTGCATCAGGAATTTTAAAATAATCTTTTCCTTCAAAAAGATGCCCATTTCACCCAGAACTATCAAAATGCTGTTAGTATAAAACTTAATCCCCAAGACTGTAGGAAAGGACATGTATTAATGCAGTTAAAACCTTAAAGAGAGTGCCTATTTTAATCACACTAAACATTCTGCCTCATTAAAATAAAAGTGCACACTTCAGAATAACTAGCGAAGTATAATCCAACCAGTTGGGATCATTTCCAAGAACCCAAGATTTTAACCCACGATCCCATTCTCTGTTGCTAATCCCAAGATTATTCCATCAATTATTCCCTCAAAACAAGATCCTTCAAATAACACCCTCAAAACAAGATCAGACAATCAACGCATCCTGGGCAAAAGAAATGTAGNCAGGAGACGGTGAGTTGAGGGGCATTTTGCCAGATTCCCTTGCCGGGTCGCTGCTCTCACTGTCGTCGAGCCGCTGCTGCTGCTCAATGCCTGCTAGGTACTTCTCATAGTCTTTAAAGACAGGTGTCAGGTCGCACAGTGGGTTTGCATTCACGTGCTTCACAATCCAGTCCCGCACACAACAGTTCAAGGCCGCCAGCTGCTTGTGGTATGTGTTCCCGTGATGGGCGGGGCTTGAGGCAACACCAGAGGAAGAAGGCTTCTGACTGTCACCGTTTGTTTTGGGATTTGAAACCTTATCACCAACAAAGGAGGTGGGGCCATTTACAGCAAAAGATCCTAGAGAAAATTTAAGTTTTAAGGTTCATTTAGAAGTTGATTTGACTAAATCATCTAGATTTTTCTATCACTCATATTTTTGCTTTTATTGCATCCCATTTTTGTGACAGTTCAAGAAGTATGTGCACACCTAATACTTAGGATCTGGTCATCACAAAAATCAAATCAAACTTTATGCAGGAATAGTATCTATTATATGCTTGCATCAGGAATTTTAAAATAATCTTTTCCTTCAAAAAGATGCCCATTTCACCCAGAACTATCAAAATGCTGTTAGTATAAAACTTAATCCCCAAGACTGTAGGAAAGGACATGTATTAATGCAGTTAAAACCTTAAAGAGAGTGCCTATTTTAATCACACTAAACATTCTGCCTCATTAAAATAAAAGTGCACACTTCAGAATAACTAGCGAAGTATAATCCAACCAGTTGGGATCATTTCCAAGAACCCAAGATTTTAACCCACGATCCCATTCTCTGTTGCTAATCCCAAGATTATTCCATCAATTATTCCCTCAAAACAAGATCCTTCAAATAACACCCTCAAAACAAGATCAGACAATCAACGCATCCTGGGCAAAAGAAATGTAGACGAGAGGACCCCCCAAGTTTCTGGAAGGTGTGTGCCAGAAGCCAGTCTCGAGCACACAGCAGTGAAGGAGGGGATGGATGGGAGGGCAGGCCTTCATAGGGTGCTCTAGGAGTGTCCTCTCCTCCTTTGACCCTTAGGTCAATTCTGAGGGTCATTCTCATTTCACAGTTGAAGATTTGGAGGCTCAGAGGTTAAGGAGCTTTACTGAGACACAGAGCTGGTAACTGGCAGAGAACAGAGCCTAGGTCTGTTCTGGCTCTAAAACTCATGCTGTACCCATCACATACGTAAATACCCAGCATTTCCCTAATTCCCATCCCTTTCCTTACTACTGTCTTTTGCTCACATAGTTCCAGAATACAGGGTAAGCATAAGAAAAACGTCTTTGCGAAGTCATTTTTCACACGGATGTGAGTGAGTGGAGAGAGGGAACCTACTTACCAAAGGTCACCTTGGTCTTGGTTGTGGCCCTTGAACTGGAGAAAGACGGGGCACCGGCCATGCTGCTGCCATTCGACAGTCCTTCCAAAGGCTTCCCTCCTACACAGGTCCCGAATCCAGAAAACCCTCCTCCTCCTCCAGAAGGAGCAACCAGCCCTTTGAAGCCTTTAAAGGCCCCCCCACCATCAGACTGGAACATAAAGAAAGAGCATAGATTAGGTGACCCTATTTTTATAACCAATAGGCAAGTGAGTGACAATATTATCTTGGCTAAACAGCAACTAGAGTCCTTACGCAACCAGCATTAAAGGAAAACTGCCGGCAAAGCCAGAAACAGGAAAGGAGATTTTATTCACGACAGCTTTGCAAACCAAAGCTGCCTTCCTGCAACAGCCAAGGAGAGTCCTAATTTACAGTGAAATATGTTGCTAAAGATATATTTCAGATATAAAAGGTAAAAAAAAACCCTAATGCAATAACTGACTGCCCAGAATTATAACTAAAAACACATTATCAACACAACTAAGCCCCTAATAAAATATTTTCGTGTATTGCTCAAAGACAACTTGCATAAGTTGTAGAAATATCAAATTAGGTTAACTGAAAGTTTTTACCCACTTAACCTATGATTTCCCAAGACATTCTGTAGCTTTCAACTTGCTTTCAGCCTATAGAAACTTTTTAAAAAACTTTTCTTTGTTGTTGAAAGTATTACAGATGCCCCCTTTTTCCTCTCCATTGCAGCCTACAGAAACTTTGGGAGGTGATTTCAGTCTCAAATCTAGATTTTTCCACAGCTGAGAAATGCAGGGCAACACTGTATTCTCACTTGCCTCGCTGCTCCCTTTCACAAGGTGTCTTTCCAGTGGATGTTCCTTGGTTGCTGGCTTTCTCATCTCTAACCCAAGATGCCTGGGAAATACCTGGCGTTCCTTATGGAAATCTAAGGCGCTCTCTCTGTCCCCAAGAACCTCTGGAGAAAGCTTCCTCAGTTCACAGGGCTCTGCTCAAGTCCCGACAATTTCTGTAAGATCGCTTTTTCATTCAAGGTAGTGATTATACCACAGGGGGATCTGTTTCTCAGATAAGGATCCAAGGGAGGCTGTAGGAAACATTCTTAAAACTACATCTCGGAAAACATGCTCCAGAACATCTGAGCCACAAACCCTACGCTCCCACACAGATGAACGACAATCTTGATCTCACAGAGAAATTACCTCCATTTCCTAAATGGGCCAGCTAGCCTACTATCATTGCATAGTTTTCAAAAAACAAAAGTTTCCATAACATCTATAGAATCTCAGATGGTTACTGACCACTTACGGCAACAAAACTAGGCAAAGAATGCAAAATCTTAACTTGTACGAGTTTTAATGCATGTAATAAATTTAGCTTAGCTTCTGATGCTTTAAATTTGCTTTTTGATGATTCAAAATCCAAAATACACCAAATGGATAGTTATTTTACAACAGTGATTCACAGACAAACTGTAAAGCTGACAGTGGCTCTTCAGAAACTTCTATTTTGCCACACAGTATTTACAGCTATTTTGGAAATTACTGATAGTAAATTGGCTCCAGAATGACAAAAGTTCAAGAACCACTTGTTTAAAAAAACAACAGTGTGGTGCAGTTGGTTGGAGCGCCGTACCATACACCAGAAGATAGCGGGTTTAACTCCCAGTCAGGAAACACCCAGGTTTTGGGTACGAATGATCCCCAGTTGGGGCACATACAGAAGGCAACCAATCGGTGTTTCTCACTCACATCGATGTTTTTCTCTCTCCAATGAGAAAAAAAAAAAGGAGTGAGGGACATTCAGAACAATGCGAGTTAAAAGTTGAATGAGAAGACATCCATTTGGGCTCCACAGAAACAAAACATCCCTGTGTCAGGTCCGTTTTTGCCCACCAGTCATCCTCAGTGCCTAGCAGATCTGCTGAGTGGATGAACAACGTACTATAGAGTAAAAGCTCTTTCAGCATTGAACTTCTCTAATATATCAACTGTGATGGAAACTCCATGCTGAAAGTTACAGCTAACACTGCATGTGGATTTCAAATACCCACATAAGTTTCATTAACAGCCCAAGGACTCCCTCGCCCCCTTCCCCTTGGCCCAGTGTGGATGGAGGTCTACTCAGTGTCTAGTTCTTCCTCTGCGCTCACCCAACAGCTCAGTCCTCCCTCCTTGAGCCTGTCTCCCCTTGGCTTCCCCTTCCTCATAACGAGCTCCACTCAGGCCTCTTCTCATCCACCCATGGCTTCAACTTCCAGTATGGCTGAACCCCTCCTGTCTGTAACTCATACCCCAGATCCTGTTCTGAGTAGCCACCAGTACACCTAGCGGTCTTATAGAAAAGTTCACACCACAGCCCTTAAAGTACATTTCCAAAACTAAACCCATCATTTCCTCCTTAGTTAAGGTGTCCCCTTCCCCATCAGATGTTATGGAAACTTTTGTTTTTTGAAAACTAGCTTAACACCTACATCCAACTAAACACTGCTCTAAAGAATGAGATCAGACAAGGAAAGAACTTAGAAATTAAAATAAGACAACTGACAGAGGCATGACTATGTAGGTTTATTCTGAAGCTGCCACCCAGAGTGTTGCTGCCTGACCATGGGTGTCCAGGCACCAATACAGCACCCACAGATCTGGAATGTATGGGGGGCTGAGGTCAGTACTGGGGAGTTGTTCAATGTGGAGTGACTGCTGAATCCTGAGCACATGATTTCAACTCATGAGCTGCACACAATTCATCTTTTATCATTTGAGCACAGGAAGGAAGCATTTTAATACACTATCCTGTCAACACCTGAAATGCTTCTATTATAGTGAAAGGACTTCTCCCACCCGCACCTCAATCCCAGGCAGTAGAGGAGACTGAGAATTTCTTCTCTTTTCCTTCCTCACTCTGACCTGACAGGCACTCCTCTGGCCTCCTGTATTGCTATCCTCATTTGCCCTCACACTGTGACAACTCTCATTTGTCTACATCTTATTTCCGCAGCTGGGTAGGCTCCCTGTAAGGCACAAATCTATGATCACTTTTTCTATGGTCCACACCAAGTACTCTCACAAGTGAGTACGCACTTCAATGACCATTTATTGATCTGACTGCCCCCCAAGTAGAAAGCTGTAGAAAACACTCACTTCACATCCAGCATTTCTACGCTTGGCTTTCTTTATGGCTCTGTTCTTCAAGACTTCCTCACTGGCCACTGAGAATGTTCCCACCTGCAGGAGCATACAAATTAAGAGCAGTAAGATAAGGCCAAATGGCAATAAAATGCTGAACAAAAAAGACAGACCAGGCAAACTTATCTATTACCTGCTAGTTTTAAAGTACTGTTAATACTTGTAATAACATTATAGAGAGAGCACATTCAAATGAAGTTTGTGCCCGGCTGCTGTGGCTCAGTGGATGAGCATTGACCTATGATCCAGGAGATCACGGTTCAATTCCCAGTCAGGGAACGTGCCCCAGTGGGGGGGCATGCAGGAGGCAGAGGATCAATGACTCTCTCATCACTGATGTTTCTCTCTCTCTCTCCCTCTCCCTAAAGTCAATAAAATATATATATATGTTAAAAAAAAAGTTTTTTGCCCATGATCTGCCTGGCAAATCGTACGTCTTCTGGAACCTACAAATCCAAGATATGAATCAGAGACAGGCGTGTGTGCATGAAAGTTGACAAGACTAAGCCCATCAAAACTTTGGTGTAAAAGTACTTAGCACAGCCTTCAATTATTTCAAATATATTCAAAAGTATTAATAAAACTTAAGCTGGACGGTGCCTTAAAGATCATGAACAGTTGGGAGTGGAACCAGTTCTGAAACCCAGATGCCCATATCTAGTATCTTACTACCACCATTTTAAAAAATAAAATTGTACTTATGAAACACACACACATTACTATTTTTGAAAAGAGCTCTGCCCATTTGCCCACCATCCAAGAGACCAGGGCGGCACTGGGACTCTAGGAGAGCGCTGAAACCTCTAGAGCGTGCTCCAAGTACTCCGTCCACATAGGAATGGGCCGAAGACCTCTGGATTTGGTTCCTCCCTTCTTCTACCCTGTACAGCTAGCATAAAATATTTCCTGTAAAAAGTTCTCATGCGTAATTATTTCAGAAAATGTTAAACTTAGAGAGATCTCTACAGCCACAGAAGGACTGTTTAGTGGCATTTGCCCAGATTAAATGTGACGACCTTCCACAGTCATTTATTAGCCTCTATCAAACGGGAGCTCCTTCAGTCCTGAAATACCTTCGAGCAAACATTTACATGGTAGTCTAAATCCTACCAGGCCCAGAATGCAGCTGTGCATAAGACCTGGGAAAAACGTAGCTACCAGAGTCTTGGTGAAACAGCACATCAGTTAGAAACATTAAAAGCCTGTTGAAATGTTGCCATGCTTGTGATTTGACTTCTCTCACCATGTTAGTGCACACATTTTTGTAAAGGTAAAAATGGTAGCACCAGGAAACAGACTCAGAAAGACGACAGCCATCTAATAAGCTTGAAGACACTCTTGCAGGTTCTTCAACTTTTTTTTTTGCTTGACACTACTACTTGAAAGGCTAGCTTGGTTGCCGACATCCTCGCTGGACCACCCAGGAGGACCACACTGCTGATGAGGCACCGGGAATGCAGCTGTGCTCTACTCTTTGTGAGAGAAAAATTAAGATTTCTTCAGGGAGGGCCATTCATTCTGATTTTGTTAAGAAACTAGGCCAATCTAAATTCTATTCCTGTTAATGCCAATGTTGGGGGGGGGGCAGACAGTTTATCTCAGATCTATAAGAATATGAAATAGAGCTGCCTTTGAGAAGATCAGTTAGCGAGGCGGCCGGAACCACCTGAAATCTGAAACAACGAGGATGGCAGACTGAGGGGGTGGGGGGTGGACCACCTGTCAGGTGTGAGTGTGGCACTGTGCTAAGTTCGTGACCAGATCATCCAGTCACCCTGTCTTGACTAAAACCACGGGGTCAGATGCTGCAAGCATACGGAACTGAGGAGGAAGGCGCTTCTACCACGGAGGAGACTATTCAGGGAATAAGCGCTGGTGGGGAGGCACACCGGGATGTAATTAATAAATGTCTATTCTAAGTACAGGTCACAAGAAACCATACTATTTCCCGAGCAGGATGGTCTTAAAAAGGCTTTTCATTTTATCACAGTCTTCACGAGGAGCTCAAGTTTAAATTTAGAAGCAGGGGGAGGTCACTCTCAGGAAAGCTATTTCTTACCTCTTCTGCTTCGTCTTCCTGATCCCAATTCCTGTCTGTCAATTCCTTCTCGGCAATTCTTTTGGCCATTTTTCCGAAGCTAAAAGTAAAACGATCAGAAGTAAAAAGTTTGCTTTTTTAGACCAAGAGATCACTCTTACAAAGCATTTTAAAAATTTGCTGTAGCATGATATGAGATAAAAAACATTCCTGATACCACTGGGAACTGCTCTAATGAGAACTTTACAGAGGTGTTATTAGGCTCCCACTGTTTCAAATCCAATAAAGGGCTATGCGAGGAGGCAGGGTAGGTCTTCTAAGGAACACCGGCACCCTTTCTGAACAACACCAAACCAACTCCATTTGAAAAATATTAATATGCGACCTCAATTGATTTTTTAAATCTGAAATCTTAAGTACTGTATATATAATCAAGGAGTGCTTAACTACTTTTTCTGTGCACATTACACATATAGTCTTGCTACAGACAAAATGTTTTAAATGTTTAAAACTTTCTTCAAGATGACCCAGTGAAGACGTTCATCCTTAGGTGGGATTGCTGCTGTTAATCCTTACCGTAGGATGTTTTTCCATTGACTTTTAGAGTAGGAAGGGGGAAAAGAGAGAGAGGGAGAGAGAAAAGCATGGATTCGGGAGAGACACACTGGTTGGCTGCCTCCCACAAGGGCCCCAACCAGGGCTGGGGATGGAACCTACAACCCAGGCACACTCCCTTGACTGGGAATCGAACCCAAGACCTGCTGGGGTGCGCACCTACACTCTAGCCACTGAACAACCGGCCAGGGCTTAGGCAGGAATTTTAATAAGGCGTTGGTCTTACGTTGATAGCACAAGTCCTCTTGTTTAGGCTACACACAGTTGATATAAATACATTTCCCAAGATTGAACATTTAATTATCCCACATTGTATACAGCTACAATAGGACATCATTTAAAAGCTCAAAATGCAATTAATATGGATGTGTTAACATTCTGAGAATTTACAGCCCTTTCAAAAATAAGCCAGGAGCTCAACTCCAGCACCACCGCGTGGCAGGGCGGGGTTGGAGGTGGGGACTGATGGTATTACGAGCACCTATCCAAAGAGGGTGCTTGCAGCTGTCCCTTAAAGTTTGCAATTTGCTTTCTGATCCTACATCACATCCTTTGCTATAAAAAACAAAAATAATAAATGGAGCGCTCCATTGTGAGTGGCGTAACTCACCAGGTAAATGGACAAAAAAACACCCTCTATTTCCTCTGCCCCCACCTACCCAGGAACTTACCAATTAGTTCGGGGCTCCTCAAACTGCCTACATCCTTTCTGAGCCTTTCTCCACCCTAGTTTGTCCTCAGCACAGCCAGAGAGTAAGTTCCTGGAGCTTCAGGGTCATTAAGATACACGCTTACACGTCACCTTCTGCTGTTTGGTCTGTATAAAGTAAACTTCCAACACTGACATTCCAGCCCTCCAAAATCTGACCCCTGTAATTACATAGGGGTTTTCCAGTTTTGAATAACTGACTAATCATCTTTGAATGTCCTCTGCAAACACTTGGCCAAGTTTTGCTACTAACTTTTGTGACCCAAACAAGAACAATGTACTCTTACACATAATTCCTTACTGAACGTGGCTGTCCTGAGGCCAGGTCTCCGCCTGCAGTCTTTTGGCCATTTTGCTGTTCAGTACCTAGCACTCCCACCAGAGGGCGGAAGAGGCGAGTTGACATAGTCTTGCTGCGATAGAAATTAACTATTAACTTAAGCTACTCAACGGAAAAAGGGGTAGAGCTGAAAGTGCAAAAACTGTAGTAAAGTAAAATTTTAACCTCTAAGTCATACCCACAATTGACAATCATAACCAGCATAGCAAAACAACCTGAATGCAGCCGCTCCCATATCCTACCACAGTCATCAAGTCAGAGCCTAACCAGGGGACAGGGGGCTTTGCTCGGTGTGCTGGTGGTTCTCCAACACCCCAGCCTGCCCATCTCCAGACAGGTATTCTAGCTGTTGCTGAATCAGTGAGCTGGGAAACCACGTATTTGAAAAAAATACTCCAGAAAGACGTGGGCACCTCAGCTCTCCTGTATTCTTGCAGGAGACCTCGGGCGAGCTGTTTAACTTTTGTGCCTCCGTTTTTTCCTATGCAGAACAGGGAGGTATGGAAATTAAATGAGATAAACAAAAACCTCGGTTTCGAACAGTGCCTGGAACAGAGGAAGGGCTTAATAAGCACTATTAAAGGAACAAGTTTTGTTAGAGGCAAAGGCCACACAGTACTATCTTCCCTCCAAAACGTAAAAGTTCTACTGTGGGAAAAGAGTTTACTTGAATTAAGAGCCAAGCTTTAGAACATATTTCAACAAATCCGCATTTTATTTCAAAGCCTGACACCTCGGGCAGTAAGTTCTCCTTTTAACAAGAGGAGGAAAGGCACGCGGCCCGGCGCGGGGGTCGGGGCGGCTGTGGCCCGAGGGAGGAAGCGCCGGAAGGACCCGGGTCGGGGGCGATTCCCGGCGGCGTCGGGCTGGGAAGCAGAAACTTACGGCGACGGGGACCGTGCTCGCCG